AGAACGCGTGAGTGTGTTCAAATGAACAGACAGATAAACAGACAGACGCACTAGGGTGCGCACAAATGACCAGTTAGGGTGTGTATGTTTGTTTGTTTGTTTGTCCTTGGCGGTTTGTTCAATTAGTAGTTAAGTTTGCACATGCACACGCACCGACAAATGCGCTCTATTCGAAAACCGGAACGCTAGATGGAGCGCCGCAACGGAGCCGCTCACGACGTGCACCCCAGTGCTCAGGCGAGTCAATGAGCTACACGGACCCGCTTATATGGACGTGTTTCGAATCGGGNACGACCACTTGCATGACAGACCAAGATCAACGCGTCTCATTTTGCCTTGCGTTAGAAATGAGCGAATTCCGGCTCTCCCAGTTGGTTATCATACACATGCGTAAAATGAAACATGTATTGAAGGGGTAGTAATGGTTACTAGTGGTGCGATGAAAAATTGTACGTCGATGTTTGTGTGTGTCTGTGTGTGTGAGTTTGTGCCCCTCCCCCCACTCGTGCGGCTGTGCAAAAACGAAGATAACTCAAAATGTATAATCTCATCACTCTGTCACTGTGTGTGGTCCTAGTGAAAACCAATCAGAGAGACAGATTGGGGATGACCAAATCATGCGCGTGTCGGAAGTGACCATATTAGATAGATTTAAGTTTGTTTGGATATGTCGAGTGCTTTCGCATTCACTCAACCAAACGGGAAGAATGAGTAGCCCTCAGGAGTGAAAGGGGGCAGGTTGACCGAATCTACTTATGGATTTGGTTGACATACATGGTCAAATGGAAATTGTAGTTCAATTTTGCATGGAATGTGTTTGCTGTAAAAAAAGAACGATAATTGATTTGAATGATTTTATAAAGTCTGTTTTTAATGTGATAAACTGAAATTGACTTTACTCAAAAGTGTGTATTAGTCAGTTGTAAACATTTCGGGAAATCACTTGGGGAGTTGGCGGGGTAGAGTTGTTCGCTCAGGGCACGTTGGAATTGAAATGGATTTACCTGCCGATAGAATTCCCTGGAAAAAGAAATTGGAAAACGGTATTTGGTTTGGCCCGATATCTGTCCAAGGGATCTGACAATTTCAAATTTCAACTTGATAATGAATATTCATGACCTAACCCGATGCCAATACGAAGCGATCAATCACCGGAGTGGTATTCCGAACCGAGAGTTATGCTGTTCATCGAAGTGGGACACAGTGACCACCGAATTCCTCACAATCAGTTGCGTTATCGTCGTTGTCCGTATGATCATCATTATCATGATCTGATTACGGGCTATCTATCATAAGGTGAACCAGGAACACGGGTCACATTGGTATCGTGTCCGAGTGTATGAGTATTCCTTCTTAAGCATTACTTCAACGACTGTACCCATTATAAGAGCTCTTTTCTTCCGACTAGACATTTTGACTGCCACCCGTAGAAAATGTACAACTCTGCATTGGCCAATCCGTGTATACTCACCAGGTAATAATTGAAGTGAAAAATTCACCACAAATTTGTGTTTATATTATAGTTTTCGTTTCGAGCCTTTGTATAAGCGATTGCAAGTCCGCTCTTTTGTATTAAATCTGTTTTGATTATCCCGTACCTGGTTTACAATTCTCCAATAGGTGCTACGTAACTCAGTCGTCGGTCTCGGGAAAATTTCCCTTGTCTGGTAAGTGAAATCCGATTGACCTAATGGTTGATGTGAGTTGTTTTGCACCCACCCACCTCAGCTTGGGTAGCAGTTGTCACGATCACTCCTGAATAGAACTATGATTTCAGTAGATCACATTATCAGAACTGCTGTTAAATCAGTCGAATGTTTTTATTTGTGGTCGTTTCGATATTTTGCTCAGCAGACCGTTTCATAATCAATAAATAACACTTCTACACAACCCCATGCAAGTTTAATTCAGCAATGATGCCTCACTAGTCACAAACCTAGTGAATAAGTAGGTGTTCAATTGTGGGTTATGTAAAAGTTTCATTTCTGTCTCCTTCTTGCTATCATGAACCTAATGGGGAATGAAGGAACTCACTTTTGGCGCTAATCATTAGACCCATGTAAAGATGTCAACACCAAGTAAAATAGAAATTCTTGAATGTTGTAAAAAGTTAATACCATAGCATTTATGAATTTCTATGGGTGATACAAAAAACATTCATAATTATCCTTTTTTGTGGGGCTGCTTAATTTGTTTGCGGGTGGAGACGATTGGTGTCAACCCAACCAACAACAATCTGTTTTCGTTGTTTTGGGCACCTTCATACAACAGCATGTTGACTGAAGATAACACCATTCTGCTCAATTTACTCGCTTTTGCAAGTGTACTTCAGGGGTAGAGATGTCAACTTGCTATGCGAAAATTCAAGTTTCAAGTGCAGACAGGGAGTAAAATACGGTGCTGACGAACGACACGACTGTTCAGTGATCTTCGTCTATTTTATGATAAAACATCAGGACTGTTCTGAAAGATGATATTTGTTTTAAAGGAACAGGTTGCATTTAAAATTCACACGGTTGATTTCTTCTTCCAGTTTGCACTTAGAACCTTCTTCACTTTATTTCACATCCTAAAAAAAGTTCTGCCTGGGCTCCAGTTTTCCTTCTCTGTATCTTATTTATTAATCATCAGATTATCAAACTTGCGTCACACCCGTCCTGGGGATTCTTCTACATTTTCCGTGCAAAACGATTATTTTTATTTCTTCGCAACTTCGCACAACTTCACAAGGCATAAACATGTCCCAATTCGGAATGTTGTAATCCTCTCTGGGACAGGGAGAGGTGGCCCAAATTCTTTTATCTGTTTTCCTGACTACGCTTCGTGTAATGCTATTCATCTTGTCACTGATTCAACATTCACTATTCAGACATTTGCTCACATGATCGATGACCTGCTGAATCCTTTTCTACCGCAATTACCATGGAGTTTGCTCTGCTCTGCTCTGACCTGACCTGACCGATCCCATCCCATGTGAACCTTGATTGGTTCAGAAGACATAGTTACAAACGCCTAGTCACCCTTATCAGGTGGTTCTAAAAATCTTTCGAACAAGAGCATTCAAATTCTCTTTTTCCAAGAACTACTGGATTGTTGAATACTTCATCAACCTGTTTCTGTTTGTCCTTCTCGTAGTATATATTCTATTCAGCCGGTTGTTCTTCAGATAAATGTTCTCCCCATTTCCAATACAATATATATGATTATGGGGTTTACCTTTTTACCGTTCATCATACTTATCAGGTAATAAAAACTCCTTAATACTAGACAAACTTTATTCGTCATTGTTTGTCAGTGTTTTATTGTCCTTGATTACAATGTAGAGACTGAGTTTTCGGTAGATGTTCCGTTCCGTAGCCATGCGTTGGTGGTGTTCATCATGGACTGTGAAATCCAGGTTAGGGATTTTACTTCCCTACCGAACATTCGAGGTTAGGATCTCGCGAGGGACAAAAACAAAACACATACTATTCATGATTTCTCAAAAAAGACATTTTTTGACCTTCACGGAACATGCTATCACACAAAAAGAATTCCCTCAGGCGTGCATAGCGGAACATTACTTCGTTAGATTCTGCTGTTTCGGAGCAATCTACTTAAACCTCGGAGGTTCGCTTTATCGCTAAGATATACAGGTGTTGATCAAACTCTCGCAACATCACTCTCATTTCGAAGCGCCCAACAAAACAAATCACATATTGATTTTACCAACAGATTCAACTTGGGCCCGTTCATTTGGCGATGGGTTTATCCCACTCGTAGACATCGGGCAATTCAGCGGGAGGAGAAAAGCTGATCTACTGACCCAATATTCCAATGAATTTCGTTTTACCTGTCAAAAGAAGCAAATATCCACCCGTTCTAACCAGTTCAAAGGGAAGTAAACACCGAACGCGTTTTGTTGCTGGTCTCCTGCACATATCAATCTGGATATGGCAAAATTTCGTGCACTGATAAGGGATGTTTTTGATAACTTTTCACTCTCAAACAGCATCCGAGGAAGTCACATTTTTCACACAAGAAGGTCATTATGTCTTTTCACTTGAGGTTGGTAATGAAAAACGTTTAGATGTAATTAAATATTATTTTTTCACAGCACTTAGGGTGGGACCTGCATTACAGGAAACTGGCAAGTTCTGTTGGTCAGTCAACTTGGGGGACTTCAGGCAAAATC